GCCGATCCAGCAGCTAGAAGTGAGGAGATATTCATGGAAGTTGCTGAGGGAAATCCACTATGGGGCTAACAATAAAATTGAATAAAAAGACTACATTCAGGCACATATAAAACCATACAGAATGAAGCTGGGTGTGATGGCACATGCCTGTAATCCCAGCACTTGGGAGGCTGAAGAAGGAGGAAGCCAGCCTGGGCTACATAGTCAAACTGAACTATATAGCCAGACTCTGTTTCAAAAAATAAAACAAAACCACATGAATGAATCTGTCTTTATGATTTTCTCTGTGAGTGATGAGAACAGCCTTCTGTAGGTGAGAAAAGACCTTCATGTGCACTTTTTGCTTTATGCTACCAATATCTGTGGTGTGCACAGTAACCAGTTCAGAGGCTTTGGGTTTGGGGGAGGTTGGTTACTAATCCATGATTTTCTGTTATGGTTCAGATCTAGAATGGGCCCCCAACCTCATGTCCCCAGCTTGGTGCTCAGCTAATGGTGCTATTGGGAGGTGGTGGACACTTTAAGAGGTGGGGCCAGCTGGAGGAAGTGGGTCACAGGGGCCCTGTGTGCCCCAGAAGTGATACTGGGGCCTTGGGCACTTCCTCTCTCTCTGCTTTCCAGCTGCCAGGAGGTGAGCAGCTTCTCTCATCAAGGGCTCCCCACCATGATGCTCTGCCCTGCCACAGGCCCAAAGTGACAGGACAAAGCAAGCATGAACTGAAGCCTCTGGAAGTGAGCGCCAAAATGAACATTTCCTCCTTTGAAGTTGCGTATTTCAAGTATTTTGTCACAGTGATAGAAAGCTAACATGACTTTGCAGGGAATGTAGCAATTGGAACCTGGCTGGGCCTGGCTGGGCCTGGAGGAAGTGAGGAAGTGATACGCACTCTCCAGCGCCTGCTCCGGCCCAGTCTCTGAAGGAATCCCCAGGAAGACCTGACCACACCAACAGATACCAGGTCCTCCTGAAGGGGATGCCTCTTCTTCAGTCCTTCAGGTGCAGCCATGCAGGACGAGCCAGGGAGATTCTCCTAGGCAGTCAGACCAGGATGTGATTCCACTGCCAAGAAGAGAGCCTTGGTCACCCTGCCACCAGAGCGGCGCAAGCCACGGACCAGCAGCCCAGCATTGGGAGGCAGAAAGCCCGCCTTCTGTCTCCCAAAGTTGCTCTTCATCTGGATAATCTATTTTCTCTCTGCAATTGTAAATGTGGTGTTTTGGGTGATTCAGTTTATAATTTAGCCACAGTGCGATAAGAAGTACCATAGAGCCAGGTATGTGGCACACATCTGTAATCCCAGCTGCCTGGGAGGTCAATGCTGGAAGATCACAAGTTCCTGAGACCCTGTCTCAAAATAGAAAGGGCTGGTGACATAGCTCAGGGTGAAGGCCCTGGGTTCAATCCTCAGTCCTGGAAAAAGAAAAAAGTGACATGTAGACCACATGGACAGCCATGCACAGTACTTCTGTCTCTGAGCTGGCCAGGGACTGGATTCTCCCACTGTGGGAAGCAGAGTGAGAGGATTTTTAGTTGTAAATGGGGTGGGTTCTTCACATCAGCAGGAACATTTTTAACAATATCTTTTCTTTTTTTTTTTTTTTTTTTGCTACCGGGGATTGAACTCGGGACCTTGTGCTTTTGAGGCAGGCACCAGAACCACTGAGCTAAACCCCCAGCCCTAACAATATCTTTTCTATGGACTTGAAGTTCACGTAACATTAAATTAACCACTGCAGTGTACAATTCATGGCATTTAGTGATTCACAATGTTCCGCAGCTGCTCCCTGTTAGGTAGCAGGAGCAGTTAGTTCTGAAGCGCATAGCCACCAGAGGAGAAGCCGGCACAGAGCTGTGTAGCTGAGGTGTGGGACCATGGCCCAGCACGCCTAGCTTTTGGGGAGCAACCTCAAGCTTGCTTTGTGGTGCAGGCTGGATCTGTCCATCCACTGCCACCTCTTGTTTGCTTACAGGGATAGGCAGGTGACCCTGTGCTCCTCAGGCCAGAGAACCTGGGTCAGCGTGGGCTGTGGCCAAAGCCAAGACAGTTGAAGGAAGCCACGGGATCTTTCTGCTAGGGGTGGCCTCGTGAGGGGACATTAAAAAAGAAACAAAAGCCCCAGTCAGGACCACTGTGTTTCAGGGCTGAGGGAGGGTGGGTGTTAAAGGACTCGGAGCTTTGGGTCCTGGGGACACTGGGGGCTTCCTGAAAGAAAGGAGACAGCATCCTTCTTTTGGGACCCAGAGCTCAGTCCGCTGGCCACCTCTGCTGGGCTGGGCAGAGCGCGGAGGGAAAGTGACAAAGCAGGAGCAGCAGATGAAGTGACGGAGGGAGAGACTGAGACTGGGGTGAGCACAGGCTCTGGAGCTGGCATGCGAACACCTCGGTTAACTTATTCTTGGGTCCCCAGCCCCAGGCTCCTCCATTGTCTGAACTCCGAACACCTGGGTCTCTTTGTTTCAGCCAGGTTAGGCTGGGGTGCTGTCACACTCGATGGAGCTTGGGTAACACAACTCCCCATGGTAGGGCAAGCTCAGGAGTTGGAACTGCTGAGCAGATGGAACTGTGTGCCTGGTCACACACCACCTCCAGTGCTCTCCTTGACCGGCGGCTCTTCTGCAAGGCAGGTCACTGACTACACAGCAGCACCATCCCGTCCACCTGGCTGTGGACCTTTGAGGCATGAGCGGGAACTGTGGGGCCGGAACCTGCTCCGTAAACTTCATTCATGGCTGTACTGTATGTTTGATTGTGGTAAAATATACACAACACAAAACTTACCAATTTTAAGTGTACAATTCAGTGGCATTAAGTTGTGCAACTATGACCTCCGTCTATTACCACTTTATCATCTTCCTAAGCAGGAGCTCTACCCATTAAACACTGACTCCCCCTTCCTCTCTCCCTCCAGTCCCTGAAAACCAATTTCTATTTCGTCTCCAGGAATTTGACTAGTCTAGGTACCTCATGTACGTGAAATCATACAGTGTTTGTCCTTCTGTGATGGACTTATTTCACTTCGTGTCATGTGATCCAGATCGTAGCCCATGTCAGAATTTCCTTCTTTTTAAAGGTGAGTAATATTCCATTGAATATGTACACTTTATCCATTCATCTGTTGATGGACATTCAGGTTGTTTTTACCTTTTTAGCTACTGTGAAGAGTGTTACTACTATAAACATTGGTGTACAAATATATTCAAGTCTCTGGTCTCATAGGATATATACCTAGACATGGAATAGTTGTGTCATATGGTAATTCTGTTGTTTTAAAAACTATGAATTGGGCTGGGGATTTAGCTCAGTGGTTCCAGCACCTGCCGAGCAAGCGCAAGGTCCCGAGTTCAATCCCCAGTACCAAAAAATTTTTTAAAACTACAAATTGAATCCAGGGCCTCTACACTAACTACATCTCCAGCTCCCGCCCTGTTATGTCTTGTATCTAGATGTCCCCCCAAAGCCTGATGCAGTCATAGTCATAGGTGGGGCTTTTCTGGAGTGTGTGATGCTGGGATCAAGGGTCTGTGATTACTAAATCAGTCCACTGATTGGTTTGGCATAGTCCTGGGTGTGAATGGCACCACCAAAGGGCGGGTGGCCTGAAAGGGATAAAAGGGACACGCTGGCTTCTGCTGCTTTACTAGCTTGCTGCTTGCTCCCCTGCTGCCTCCTGCCCACCATGAGCTGTTTCTCCTCTGTGTCACCCCTCTGCTCTGCCACTCTGCCTTACAGCCAGCCAACTATCAACTGAAATCTCAACAAACTGTGAGATAAACTTTTCCTCCTTTAACTCTGGGTCTTGGGTATTTTGTCCCTGCAGTCAGAAAAGTAACTAAGACAGGCCCTTTTTTATTTTTTAACTTGAACTAGGTTCTCATTAAGTCACTAAGTTGCCCAAGCTGCGTTTGAACTTCAATCTTCCTGCCTCAGCCCTCCAGAATAGAAACTTACATTTGCCCATCTCGGCTCTGAGAATTTCAGCTTGTTAAAAGCAACTATAAACTGGTCATGGTGTGAACACCTGTAATCTGAGCACTCTGGGAGGCTGAGGCAGGAAGATCACAAATTCGAGCCCAGCGTGGAAAAGTTAGCAACTTAGCAAAATCCTAAAAATTAAAAAAAAAAAAAAAAAGGATCAGGATGTAGTTCAGTGGGTTCAATCCCCAGAACTGGGAAATATAAAAGCAACTATGTTTTAAAGGTGGGGGGGTGGTGATTTCAGATTCAGATGAACTTTATGCCTTAGGGGTTTTTTTGGTACTCAGGACTTTGCGCTTGCAAAGCAGGCAGCGGCACCACTGAGCTAAATCCCCGTCCCAAGTCTTACTTTTTTCCTCTTTTCTGTGGTACTGGGACAGAACCCAGGCCTTGCACATGCATGCCAGGTGATCTACTGCTGAGCTACACCCTCAGCCCACCCTCAGTCTCCGGCCTGCAGCGTGAGCACAGCACAAACTGCCTAAAGTGGTGGTGGCCTAGGGGACAGGGCCACATCTGGTGGCTGCCACACAGCTCAGGAAATGGCTGCTGCCCTCTGGGGCAGTGTTATATAAGCCCTCCACAAAAGTAGAGGGAGGCACCTCACTGCTTTTTCCAAAACGCTCTTCCTCTTAGCCAAGCTGGGAGCGCCATTTAGTGTTTGTGGATGCTCCTCTTGACGTGGTCAGTAAAAAATGCAGGAAGCCAGCAGGTCACAAATCCATACAGCCAAGGTAAATTAAGGACCTGTTATGTGCCTGGTGCTGAGCCACAGACATGACAGACGTGGTCCTCATTCCCACGGGGCATAGCGCCCTAAAACTGGCCAGGTGGAGACCTGGCCAGCAGGACCTTACATCAAAAGCCTGGTGTGGCCACTTGAATAAGGTGACACCGGAAAAAGCCCAGGCCAGTTGCCCGGGGCCTGGGGAGTGGTCTCAGAGGTCTAGGCCTGGGAGTGGGCCAGACTGATGCGCCCCCGGGAGGCACTGGCGGCTTCCTGAGGAAAACCTCTCCCTCACCATGGCCCTAAGGAGTGAGCCTGGTGGGTGTGGGGTCACGGCCTGTGACGGGCTTCCAAGGCGGACCAGCGGGCCCACCTTCTGCCGCACCTGCCCCCGGGGTGGGGTGTGTGTAAGGTGGGAGGTGGGCTGTTGGGGGAACCAGGCTGGGGGCTGGGGGTCAGGGCGCCGGGGCCAAGACCTTCCCAGCGGTGGCGGCTGAAGGAGCTGGGTGAGCAGAGGGGCTGTCTCGGCGCCACTGGATAGAGACGCTCCAAGACCTGGGGCCCAGGGGCCGCGGGGAGAGCACCTCCCACAGCGAAGGTGAGGGCGGAGCGCAGGTATGCAGTTACTGGGGGAAGCGACCTTCAGCGTCACTTAGTTCCACCTCCCACCTCACGACATCTTTCAGTCTTCCAGCGCCCACCTGAGGGCACCCAACTCTACTTGGACACCTCAAGGTATGGGGAGCTCACTCCCTTGTAGACAGCTCATCAGACGGAGGTGCTCAGAGCCTCCGGGCGGCGGCCTGGCGCTCCGACCTTGGCCCCGAGGAGCTGGCCGGCGCTCTGGGGCGGCACCTGGCTGGGGGTTGCGGCGCGGACCCGCGGGCGCTGCTGTCCCCAGCCCCAGTGCTGAGGCGGGCAGAGTGCAGTGGGCTCTGGCGGAGGTCGGGAGAACTGCAGGGCGAAGGCCGCCGGGGGCTCCGCGGGCGGCGGGGGGAGGCACTTGACACCGGCCGGGAGAGGAGGGGCCGCTGTCCCTGCGACCAGTGCTGGATGCGGGGACCCAGCGCAGGAGCAGCGCCAGGTAGCCGGGCGCCCCGCGGGGGGAGGCTGCAGCAGGACAGGGGTGGCTCTCACCCGAGGCACCCGGAGCGCGGCCTGCCCCTGGCCTGGCACACGGCGGGGCGCCGCGGGGTTCGGGCCTCCGTCTGGCAGCGCGCGGGGACCCCCGGCGGGCCGCAGAGGCCGCGAAGTCGGACGAGGGCGCTAGGACCGGCCGCGCGCCAGGCCGCTCCCGCCGCGGCGCCCCGGGGCTCCAGCCGGCGCTGCCTCTCGGGCCGGCTCCGCATAGCCGGGGCCGGGGCCAGCGCGGCCGCGGGGGGCGAGCGCCGGGCGGAGGCCTGGGCCCGCGGGCGGCCGGAGGGAGGGAAGGAGGAAGGCGGAGAGAAGGGTGGGAGGGGGGGACCCGGCGGAGGAGGCGGAGAGAGGGAGCGCGACAGCGAGCGGAGGGAGGGAGCGAGCGAGCGAGGCAGGCAGGCGGGCCGGGAGGGAGGAGGCGCGCGGGCGGCGGCGGCGAGAGCAGAGGACGAGCCGGGACGCGGCGCCGCGGCACCAGGGCGCGCAGCCGGGCCGGCGCGACCCGAGCGGCCACACGGTAATGAGCGCCGCTGCGGCGGCCGGGAGGCCGGCCCGGGCGGGCGGGGAGCAGGGAGGCGGCTCTGGGCGCCGTGGCGGGCAGTGCCCGGCTCGGCTCGGGGCGCGCTCCCGGACCCCCTGCAACTCGGCGCCCGGCGCCCGCGGGGCCGCGGCTGCGGGCGGAGACGGCAGGCCGAGCTGGCCGGGCGGCGCGCGGATCCGAGGGTTTGTTTATGTCCCCGCGGGCTCGGCAGGCGCCCCCTCCCGTCCCGCCCGCTCCCGGCGAGGACCCCTCTCCCCGCCCCCGCCCGGCCCCGGGCTCAAGTTCAAGTCTATACAATGCTGCGGGGGCCCCTCCGCCGCCCGCCGTGCTCGGCTCAGCGTTGGCGCAGGGGCCCGGCCCGGCCGCCCTCGCCTTCCGGGCTCTGCTCCCGCCTCGGGGCCCTGTCTGGGGCCCGCGGCCGGGGCGCGGGAGGGCGCAGACCCCAACCCGGAATCTTCGGGCCCCGCCGTGGGCCTGAGGAGCGGGGAGGGGGCGGGGGCCGGGCCCCGGGCCCCGCGCAGGCTCCGCGGCGGCGGCAGAAAATGGCAGCCTGGCACGACCCGGCCCCCCGCCCCTCCCCCGGCTCCCAGCCCTCCTCGGCCCCGCGGGGCGGGGTACCCGGGAGGCCCCCGGAGGCGGGCCGAGGGGTGATCCGGGGGCCCGGCCGGGGAGCGCTGCGCAGCGATCCTCCTCCGGCCACCTGTGGCTGGGGGTGCGGGGCGCCAGCCGATCTGGGAGGGGCGGCGCGTGAGGAAGGCGCCCACTCGTGGGGCACGTCTTCCCGCGGAGGGCCGGGCAGAGGGTGGGGGGGGTGTCGTGGCCGGCTCCTCCCTGCCCCCGCGGCGGCCGTGGGAGCCCGGGCGGTGGTGGCGGTGGCGGCGCCGCAGTGTGGGGGCGGGGCGGGGGCGGGCGAAGATCCCGGGCCGTGGGGCCGGAAAACGCGGGGGTGGGAGCAGCGGGCTGGGAACGGCGCGGGTGGGGACGCCGGGGTCGTCCCCTGCAGCAGCCCCCCCCCCGCGCACACTCACGCACGCGGACACACTCACGCACACGCACCCCGCCGGGCCGGTGCAGACGTGTCCTTGAAAGCTTCGCATCTGCACAGTGAAGGACGAGGCCTCGCTGAGGCTACGGATGGGGTCTACGGCCCCACGTCCCCGCGCCCCAGGAGACCCCGAGCTTCGGAGCCGAAGGCGGCCGCAGTCCGTGTCCCGCCCTCACCCCGGATCCCCACCCCGGACCGACCTGGCCTCCCTCCCCTCCGGCGCGGACTGAGCTGGCTGGCGTCCAGGGCCCGCCCCCAGCCCCTCTTCGCTGGGGCCCGCAGGCCTCGGGCTGCCGAACTGCGTTTCGCTTTCCTGGAGCCTGCCTTCTTGGGGGCACCCTCTCCCTTTTCTCCGCCCCTCTGCTGTTTCCCCCTTTTCTCCATCCACTCCGTCCTTGCCCACTCTCTGCTGCAGGGCGAGTGGTGTTGGCACCCTGGGTGGGAATGGGGAGCGCCTGGTTCTCAGGGCCTCCCTCCTCGGGCTCCCAAGGGGAGCCCCCTGTGGCTGCACCTTGACCCAAGATGGCGTTCTGCACCCAGCTGGGCCGCTCAGGCCTGCGTCAGCCAGGGGAGGAAGGGCTGGAGCCTGGAGCTGCACAAAGTGCCCCCTCTCAAACGGCAGCCACAGGAGCCGGCAGCGAAGCGCCCTCTGCCCTGTGACCCCGCGCGCCCCTTGCTGCCTGCCTAGAGGCTGCCATCAGCATCCCTGGGGACAGTTCAGTCTTCATGTTTCACCCTGGGCTGCCAACAGCTGAGCCGCCTCCTGGGCGGGCAGGCCCTGCGGAGGGATCCTGGGATCAGGTGCTGCTGCGTGTGCCTCCTCCCGCCCAGGCAGATGTGACAGCTGCAGCATGGGGAGCTCCTCTTTGCAGTTGCTGGGTGCTATAACTGGCCTGTGGGATTTGGGGAGCCCAGCTGTTAGGCAGAGCCTCTTTGGGCTGCCCGCTGTGCTGGCAGGGCTCTGTCTAGGTAGTTTCGGAGGCCCTTGCCTTATACAGTTGGGTTGTGCGAGTCCCCGTGGGGTCTCTGGTGCAAGATGTTTCCCACCGCTGGCATCCACAGAGGCCCCAGTGGGCCCGATAGGCAGCTCTGAAAGTGCGCGCATGTGTCTGCTTGTGCTGCGGCCAGTCGGGGCCCCAGGCCAAGTTGTACAGCAAGTCTGGCACCTGCCTGCCTCCCCTGCGGGGAACATTCTCCTCTGGGCCTTGGTGTCCCCTCCAGCCTCTGCTCAGGCTCCTTGGTGCTTGTTTTCAGCTTCTGATTCAGACCACCCAGGGCTTCCCTTGTTAGTCCCTTTAGTGGGAGCTTGACCCCAGGAAAGGTGAATTCCTTCTAGACTCAAGGACTGACCTGTCCACAGTTCGAGGACTGCCCCCCCCCCCCCCCGGTGCTGGAGGAGCCTAGGAAAGGCAGCCAGTGACCTCCTGTCAGGGTGTCTTCAGACAGGATTCCTCTGAGGGGTGGGGGTTGGCCTGGAGCAGGAGGCCCATTCCAGCTTTGAAATTCTATGGCTCCGATTCTGCTCGGAGGAATTTCAGATCCGGAAGGGGAAGTTCAGACCCAGAAGGGTCTGTTTGTCACCTTAGCAGTAATCAGGGAAGGCTCCCTAGAAGAGGAGTTAGGAGGGAGAGCTGGGCCTCCCAGGGGGCTGGACCTGGAAAGGAGGGTGGTTTGAGGCTCGTGGCCCTGCAGGAGACAGGTCTGCGGCCTCTGACTGCAGAGCGGGTAAGAGCACAGCTTCTGTCCAGCCGTCTCAAGTGCGTCCTGTATGTTTATGTAGAAACCTGTGTGTGTAAATAATTTCTGAGGTTTTTCCAGAGTCCAGATCACTGTCAGCCCCTCAAACGCTTATGGATGCTCTACTGTCACCTTCATTCTGCTCTCTGTCACTGGTCCTCTCCAACAGCAAGCCCGGAAGCCAGGATATTGTTGCTTGTTCAGGGGCTGCTGGCAGGCGGAAGTGGAGTGGAGCCTGTGCCCTGGGGAAGCAGGGCTGCCCCACACTACAGCTCCATCCTGGCTGCTGCCTTGGGTCCAGCTCCCTATCTGTTTGAAGAGGCATCTGGCCTTGACGACCCCTGAGTCACCATTTAGTGAGTGTCTGGCCGCTGACCCGGAGACAGGTGTATGGCCGGCCCTCTGCCTGCTGTTTCTGTCCCTGTGGGCAAGGGCATTGCCGGCCTCGAGACCAGTTCTCAGGCCCGCTGCTCCCTGTGAGCACCATGTTCCTCCCAGGCTCCGTGGAGCTAGGCAGAAAGAGGAGTCCTATGCAGCCTTGCTGTCTTTCTAATGGGAGGGTTCACAAGAGACCCTGTCTCCCCATTCTTGGGCCAAACATGTTAGCCTAGACTCCAGGCCTTAAGATTTCAGGTTGCTAGAGAACTTTTAAACCCTGTGAGAACTTGGAGCTTGGTTGGGGGTTTGGGGGTTGCTGATGCTACCCAGAGCCTAAGGTAGAAGGGCATGTGTGCTGTCACGTGCTTCTGCCCCTCATACTTTTGCTGTGCCAGGACTTGAGTGTGTCTGGGCTCTGGCCGTTGGGACGGGGCCAGAGGTCTTAGGAATCGCTTCCACATCAGCCTGCCTGTTGAGATTAGCTTTCTTCGGGGGCTTCGCTGCTCCTGAGTGGGCTCTGATGGTAAACTAAAGGTGCAAGATTCCTTTCCATTTTGAGGCCTTGTTTGCGGTCATTTGTTTTTTTTGAGTACAGCCTTTTCCCTTAAAGTCATGACCAAAGTGTTTGTGTCCAAGTGGCCTCCAATTGGCTGAGTGTGGGACCGAGACCAGGCTCAGTGTGTGAGTGTCTGTGAATATCTGTGTGTGCATGGTGTGCAGCTGCGTGTGGGCACCTAGGACTTGCTGTGATATGAGCCAGTGGGAGGCGGCATAAGTAAGCAAGGACGCCGGAGTGCAGAGCAACTGCGTCGTGACCCTGCCTGGCTCCAGGATCTTGGGAAGCTACGTCATTTCTCTGAGCTTCACTTGTGACAGAGGTGTGAGCCCAGGCCGTGAGGATGGGGTGAGGTGCTGTGGGGTCCGGCTCTGGGAAGCCCTGCTGCCTTCTTGCCTCTTCTGCAAAATCTTGGTCAGATGAGGAAAGTGCTGAGTCTGAGTGAAAATCTTCAGCCATAGGACGCTTCTCAGAGCCACTTAGCAATCTGTTCCCAAGTTTAACAAATTGTGTTGTCAACAGGTGGTTGTTCGTCCACCTTCAGGCCCATGCACTAGCACCAGCACATCCTGACTGACCATTTCCCCAGCACTTCTATGTCCATTTGTCGGAGATTTGCTGAGCACTTCCTGTGAGCAAGGCCCTTTGCTGGTTTTGAGGGGACACCGAAACTAACAACTGCAACGAGAGGGCCCTGGCACAGGGAGACGTAAAGTCCTCCAGAAGAGTGAGGTCATGCCTAACCCAGGGGGTCTGGAAGGCTTCTTGGAGGAGGGGACATCTCAGAAGGGCCTAGGAACTCAGCAGCGGGGCAGGGAAAGGGCGGTCGGGAGGATGCCCCTAGGGAAGTGGGCTGGGTCCTGGGCTTCGGGCCAGGCGGAGGCTCTGCCTAGGTTTGAGGAGAGGCTCCCGCACTAACCCTGCCTGTGGGAGTGGCAGGGCAGTGGTGGGGGTGTGCAGCGAGCAGAGGGAAGGAGCAGAAAGGACCAGCTGGGCCACTGGGAGAGGATCTTGATTCTTTATGTCCCATAGACCAGAGCTTAAGAGCTCAGACTTGGAGAGGAACCAAGCAGGGTTTGAATTACACAACCCCAGGGGGTGGTCGCTAGAAGGGTAAGGTCTGGCATCTGTGCCGGTGTTGGCAACTGCAGTGTGGATGGGGGCAGGGGTTCTTTTTTCCGGCCTCCCAAAGGTCCTGTCCTCTGTTGCCCACCCTCGGGCTGAGACACACCAGCATCCAGAACATTCCTTCAGGGATGAGGAGGGAAGTGGGGGTGGAACATCAGGTTCCTGCCTCTGCAGCCCAACTCCGCCCTGCCTCCTCCCTCCCCTGCACTCAGGGGCTGAGCCATCAGCTCAGAAAGGAGGTGTTCAGGCAGGCGGCCAGCACCCCCAGGTGTGGGTACAGGTGCCTGGCAGCCCCCATCAAGATGGCGGGTGCCAGGCACGCCAGGCCACATCTCCCTTGCTGATCACGGCGCCAGCCACCAGCCTGTCTGGAGGACAGAGGCGGGGACCTGGTGGGGGCGCCTGGGGCTTTCCTAGCTGAGGCTCAGCACAGAGTGTATTGTTTCTAGCAGTAGCACTGCCTCTGCAGTGCCCACTCTGCCTACTATAGTCCTCCCTGACCCCTAAGGCTTCCAGCCTTATTTAGATATGTGCCCAGGTTCCTAATTTCCTTCCTTCCTTTCTTTCTCTTTTTTTTTTTTTTTTTTTTTTTTTTGAGAAAGCATCTCGCTGTGTAGTTCGGGCTGCTCTTGAACTCGCTATGTAGCCCAGACTGTTCTCCACCACACCCGGTGAACAGGTCCCTAATTTCTCTTCCTGGGGTCATCCCTGTTGATCCCACCTCTGTTTCTGTTTCAAATGTCAAGGTCATTTTTGATTGGAGCCAGTTATTAGCTGTCCCTGCCGGGTGCACAGTGGCCAAGAGGGACCCTGTTTTTTTTTTTTTGGTACCGGGGATCGAACTTGGGTCCTTGTGCTTTCGAAGCAGGCAGCGAAACCACTGAGCTAAATCCCCAGCCTGTGAGGACCCTCTTTTACAGCCAGTGACTGGCGAGCTGGGACTTGGGTCTCCCGACTCCTAGTCCAGTGCCCTTCTTGTTGTAGACAGATTCCAGACCTGACAGGTCAGCTAGGTCACAGGGCTCCAGTGACCCTTACTTGAAAGTGTTCAAAGTTACTTAGGGCCAAGATTATGCCATTGAGGATTAGATTGGTGGTTACTGAGCTCTTGGTTGGGTGTGGGTTGTTGCTGTGGCCCTGGAATGAGCTCCCTGATTCCCCAGAGGGCCCTGGCAGTGAAGGCAAGGATGCCCTCCCCAATCCTCCCACACCCAGCAACCAGAACCTTCCAGAGGAGGCCTCCTGAAAGAAGGGTCCTGTACAATTAATTTTATAAATTCTGGGGCTGGAGATTTAGCTCAGTGGTTCTGCCGCCTACCTTGAAAGCACAAGGTCCTGAATTCGATCCCCAGTACCAAAAAACAAAACAAAACTTTATAAATTCTGAAAGGATAGATACATTTATGGATAAAGGGGAATGTAAGTAGATTCTCCATAAGCCTTTGAAATGAGATAGTAAAGGTGTCTATTCTTAGATATCCATGAGTTGGTGTTGGGTTCCCCAAAAAAGCAACGTACATAGTGTAATCTCATTTTGTAAAATTCCTTAAAAATATATGCAGTTATTCACATTTATGGTCTAGTACATGCATAGAAGAAGTTGTCCTGGAAGAATATACACCAATCCATCTCCACTAAGATTTTTACCTTACTTTGTACATTTTTGTATTCTTTGAAGATATGTAAATGAACATGTGTTTGTTTCTTAATGACAACAGAATAAAACCACACCTTTTTAAAAGGTCATAAAAACTGATTTTATCCAGGAACTTTTGCTATTCAGGAACAGAGAGCTCAGTGCAGAACTGGGCTCCACTTGGAACAGACTGGAGCAGTGGGGAATCAGCCCAGGAGCAGGTCCAAGAGTCAAGGAAAGAAAAGTTACTAAG